GAGACGTTTTAAAAAAATTGTCGGCAATTAATTAACGGTTTAATTAGCGGTTAAAGGCATTTTAGGGCTTTGAGTATTTGGCGAGTGCGTCTGGAGAAATGACGGATTTTCATAGAATTAAACACTTTATTTGGAGTTTTTTCTAGTTATTTGAATAAAAATATTTTTATTATGTGGAATGACTCATTTCACTACTCATTTTAGTTGGCTTGATTGAAATAAAGAATTTTTTTGGGTCTGAAGGGGTTTTTAACACCCGTGAAGACGTAGAAATCAATAAAAACAGCAGAAGCGAATCATCGAGAGATCATTTCTGCAGAAAATTTCTCGGTCTGCAGTAAAAGTTTCTTCAATAATTGATGAGTATTCGTTTTATTCTGAGACATTCGCGAAATAATCGGTTGAAAATGTTTTTCTGGAGGATTGAGACGCTTTAAAAAAATTGTCGGCAATTAATTAATGGTTTAATTAGCGGTTAAAGGAATTTTAGGGCTTTGAGTATTTGGCGAGTGCGTCTGAAGAAGTGACGGATTTTCATGGAATTAAACTTTATTTTGAATTTTTTCTAGTTAATTGAATGAAAATATTTTTGTTATGTGAAATGAGCTGTTGGTTTGATTGAAATAAAGCATTTTTTTGGGTCTGAAGGGGTTTTTAACACCCGTGAAGACGTAGAAAGCAATAAAAATAGCAGAAGCGAATCATCGAGAGATTATTTCTGTAGAAAATTTCTCGGTCTGCAGTAAAAGTTTCTTCAATAATTGATGAGTATTCGTTTTATTCTGAGGCATTCGCGAAATAATCGGTTGAAAATGTTTTTCTGGAGGATTGAGACGCTTTAAAAAAATTGTCGGCAATTAATTAATGGTTTAATTAGCGGTTACAGGAATTTTAGGGCTTTATGAGTATTTGGCGAGTGCGTCTGGAGAAGTGACGGATTTTCATGGAATTAAAAACTCTTTATTTGGAGTTTTTTCAGTTATTTGAATAAAAATATTTTTATTATGCGCAATAAGTAGTTCATTAATTAGAAATGAATTCTGTATTGGAATTGAATAGAGTTGGTTTCATTGAAATGAAGAATTTCTTAAGGTTTGGAGAGGTTTCTAAAACTCGTGAAGAAGTAGAAATCAATAAAAGTAGCAGAAGCAAATTAGCGGAAATCATCGAGAGATCATTTCTGTAGAAAATTTCTCAGTCTGCAGTAAAAGTTTCTTCAATAATTGATGAGCATTAGAATTATTCTGAGGCATTGACGTAATAATTTGCACAAAATGTTTCAGCTGAATTTTTTTACTTAGTCATCAGGAAAAAGAAGAAATATTCGTTCAAGAAAATTATTCTTACGGCTCTTTTTGACATCTCGTCCGCCTGATATTCCCATTGCAAAAAATATTATTTTAATTGTTCCCTATTTATTTCAAGTCATGGCTTTTCATTAAATGATATCAATAATTCAATAATTCGGGATAATTTTTTTAATAGAATCAAAGTGTATTTCAATTTTATTGAAATAACCCATTTCCTCATAGAGATATCAATCAAAATTACAGAAGAAAATCATCATCAGATCATTTCCGCAGAAAATTTCCCCGTGGCATAGTAAAAGTCTCTTCAATAATTGATGAGCATTGGAATTATTCTGAGATATTGGCGTAATAATCTGTGCAAGATGTTTCAACTCAATCCTTTTACCCCTTAGTCATCAGGAAAAAGAAGAAATATTCGTTCAAGAAAATTATTCCTGCAGCTCTTTTTGTCCTCTCATCCGAGTGGTATTGACAGGGAAAAAAATAGCGATAGCCCATTCCCAATGAAAAATAACATTATTTGAGTTTTTTTAATTTAAACTCATATTTTTTTCAATAGATCAAATGAATAACTCATTGATTCGAAATAAATCCTCTTTCAGAATCAAATAGAGCTTATCTCCTTGAAATGAACCATTTCTTCCGGTTTGCAGAGTTTTCTAAAACTCATAAAGATGTAAAGATGTAGATACAGTAAAAGTCTTCAATAATTAATGACCATTGGAATTATCCTGAGATATTGGCAATAATCTGCGCAAGATGTTGCAACTCAATTTTTCTAATACTTAGTCATCAGGAAAGAGAAAAAATATTCAGTCAAGAAAATCATTCTTGCTGGTCTTTTTCTCCTCTCGTCCGAGTGATATTGACAGGGGAAAAAAAGCAATAACCCATTTTCGATTAAAAATAATATTACATTTCTTCAACTCAAATTTTTTCATTTGATGAAATGAATAATTCTGATGAAATGATGATTCTCTTCTGCACAAGAGAGCCATCATCAGATTATTTTCGCAGAAAATTAAAATAATTCCAATATTCCGTCAAGAAAATTATTCTGACTGCTCTTTTCTCCTCTCGTCCGAGTGATATTGACAGGGGAAAATGGCAATAATCCATTTCCGATTAAAAATAATATTACATTTTTTTTTTTTTTAATATATATATTACATTTCTTCAACTCAAATTTTTTCAGTTGATGACATGAATAATTCTGCTGAAATGATGATTCTCTTACAAGAGAGTCATCATCAGATTATTTTCGCAGAAAATTAAAATAATTCCAATATTCCGTCAAGAAAATTATTCTGACTGCTCTTTTCTCCTCTCGTCCGAGTGATATTGACAGGGGAAAATGGCAATAATCCATTTCCGATTAAAAATAATATTACATTTTTTTTTTTTTTAATATATATATTACATTTCTTCAACTCAAATTTTTTCAGTTGATGAAATGAATAATTCTGATGAAATGATGATTCTCTTCTGCACAAGAGAGTCATCATCAGATTATTGACGCAGAGAATTAAAATAATTCCAATATTCCGTCAAGAAAATTATTCTGACTGCTCTTTTCTCCTCTCGTCCGAGTGATATTGACAGGGGAAAATGGCAATAATCCATTTCCCATTGAAAATAATATTACATTTTTTTTTTTTTTAATATATATATTACATTTCTTCAACTCAAATTTTTTCAGTTGATGAAATGAATAATTCTGATGAAATGATGATTCTCTTCTACACAAGAGAGTCATCATCAGATTATTTTCGCAGAAAATCAAAATAATTCCAATATTCCGTCAAGAAAATTATTCTGACTGCTCTTTTCTCCTCTCGTCCGAGTGGTACTGACAGGAAAAGAATAGCGATAGCCCCTTTCCGATAAAAAATAATATTGTAACCCTAGTCCACTTCCTTCCGGACACTCCCCCACCGCTCAACGAGGCTTGTCCGCTCCGTTAAAAAAAAGCAACTTACTCCCCTTCATGTTTAATTCGTATCCCACGCTTTTGTTTCTGTCTTTGTCCTCAATTTCACTCATTCCCCTTCATTCAATTAATTTTCATCCCCACTCACTCCCCCCCCATTCACTCGAAACTCCTCATCTCTCTGACAGTTTTGGCTCCGTCGGCGAGGGAAGTCACGTTGTCCCACTAAAAGCCCGTCCCAAACTCTTGCCAATAGTTGAAAAACTCTTGTCATAATGTTTTGGCGAATGCAAAGAGGCGCCTCTAATTCTCTGGACAGCGGCTCAAAGCCATGAGACTTTCGTTTCTCGCATCTCAGCGGGCAATTAAGCGGCTCGAGGAGCCGAGCCTCTCTCGTTCCTACTTCCCTGTAATGGTGGATCGAAATAACCGAACCGTGGAGACGCGCTACGATGGAATCGAACGGGAAAATACTCCCCGGTGTACTTAATCCTTTGTTCTATATTGAGGAATTCACTCTTCAATCTTTTCGCGCAGAAAAAAAAACACCGGTGGCGAACGCAGTAGAACAGAACGCGGTGGTTTTTTATGAGTTGGCGGATGTTGAATTATCGCGCTGTCGAGGAATTGCGGGGGAACATGTGGAGTTTTTTTTTTTTTTTTTTTTTTTTTTTTTTTTTTTTTTTTTTTTTTTTTTTTTTTTTTTTTTTTTTTTTTTTTTTTTTTTTTTTTTTTTTTTTTTTTTTTTTTTTTTTTTTTTTTTTTTTTTTTTTTTTTTTTTTTTTTTTTTTTTTTTTTTTTTTTTTTTTTTTTTTTTTTTTTTTTTTTTTTTTTTTTTTTTTTTTTTTTTTTTTTTTTTTTTTTTTTTTTTTTTTTTTTTTTTTTTTTTTTTTTTTTTTTTTTTTTTTTTTTTTTTTTTTTTTTTTTTTTTTTTTTTTTTTTTTTTTTTTTTTTTTTTTTTTTTTTTTTTTTTTTTTTTTTTTTTTTTTTTTTTTTTTTTTTTTTTTTTTTTTTTTTTTTTTTTTTTTTTTTTTTTTTTTTTTTTTTTTTTTTTTTTTTTTTTTTTTTTTTTTTTTTTTTTTTTTTTTTTTTTTTTTTTTTTTTTTTTTTTTTTTTTTTTTTTTTTTTTTTTTTTTTTTTTTTTTTTTTTTTTTTTTTTTTTTTTTTTTTTTTTTTTTTTTTTTTTTTTTTTTTTTTTTTTTTTTTTTTTTTTTTTTTTTTTTTTTTTTTTTTTTTTTTTCCTCCAAGAAAATGACCCTGAGTACATTGAAAATAGGGTAACATTTACTCAAAAGTTATTGTGCGAGCATTTTACGCAATTTCAATATTTGAGAGATTTGAGACTCTTTTGATTGGGAATTTCTTCGGCAATTTTTTGATTTGTGGAAGAGAATTCGCTTTGCTCAATCCAATAAACTATTTATTATTAAAGTTGATTGTTATTTGCGTTTTAATTCCCATCGAATTTATTTATAATATTAATTTATTTACAATCTTGAATGGAAGATTTAGAAATCTTTCATATAATTCTAATAGATTTCTTTGGGATAAATTAATTGTTTAGTTCATTAATGAAAAAAAATTGAATTGAGAGAAATAATCTCAAGAAAATCATAGAAATGGCAAAAAAACCTCCTAAATTCCTGAATAAATTCCATTACCTCACATGTTATTTTCGCTCCCATATTTCAATGCACAACAAATTGATTGAAATCCCTGAGTCTTGCGGAGTACTAATCAAACATTTATTAATTTTTCAGGTGATTACGAACGGCGTTAAGAGGGACCCAGACAGCTGCGAGTCTTTGACAAACGGTGAGTCATGATCCTAAACATTTGAGCTGGAATTTTTCACTCATCTTTAGACCCACCGACACGACCAATTCTTTCAATTATCGTTCAATTGACCTTCGGGGGGTCACAACCGGGGGTATTTAAACGTTGATAAATGGACTGGGTCCAAGAAGGCGACTTCCTGTTACAGTTCCGGTTCTCCCGCTTTTTATATTAATAATTCATTATCGCGGGGGGATTTCTCGTGAATTGAGGACTTTGTTTATCGGCCGATGGAGTTGGGGATTAATTCGTGACGCAATCATTTGAATCAATGAACTCGTGCCCTCGACGCTGGATCAGTGGATTAATCCGGTGATTGGATTGGCATCACAAATCCTACGGGTGATTGATTCATCTGATAACAGGTTATTCAGGGAGATCTCGTGAATTGAATTGGTTTTTTGAACTGAAATGATTTCGCAATGATTTTATTATCCAAAAGATAAACTTTGAAGATTCATTTTTCATTTTGAAATTTTTTACTTTTCATTTTTTGTCTTATTTTCATTATTTTCTACATTTTTCTGGGAATATTTCCGATCCTAATTAATAAATTGATATATTTGTGTCATGAAAATGTGTCGGTTACATAAAACAAATAATTTATTCATTATAAATATTTTTTACACAAACGTTTTTTTATCTTTTCCCAACTTTTTTCTTTCAATTTGGTAGTGATGTGGTAAACCGGTACAAGTTAATTTTGACTATTGCCAGTTTTCAATGAATATCTCGGAATCTAAGGGAGATAGCGGAATTTTCGTGATCACCTTTGTTGTAGCTCTCAATCGGCTCTATAAAAAAGGTTATAACAAAAATTGTGCTATCTCCATTAGATTCGGAAATATTCCTCAAAAACTCAGCTGAGAGATGAGTCGACTTAAACAGTTTTACCACTTCGCTACTGAATTAATGCTCAAATCCACTTGCCTCTTTTGAAATAAATAAAAAAGAATTGAACAAAAACTCATTAATTTTTTCTACAACATTTCATCTGCTCCAAATATGTCACTCTGTAAAAACCCGGGGGAAAGTATCGATAAACCTCCGAGGAAATGCACCAATTTTTCACTCCATTTTTTTTCCTAAACTTTACGCGGTGAAAAAAAAATTCCAGTGAAAAAGAGCGTTATAAAATTTCACTTTCGTCTCGTAAAAACGAATCATCCGAAACGGCAGTGGCAAGCTTTTCTCCACTAATACCTTTTTTTTTCTAATACGAGAACACTTTTTACTTTCGTTTCGCTCTTCTCAACTTCGTTACAGAGCACGTGATAACTATTGAGTTTTCCAAGATACGAAACACATTCGATTCTTTATGCTTCGTTAGAGTAAATTTACGCTTAAACTTTCGAATGTTGGAGTTGAATATTGGAGTGGAAATGGGAATATTCTTATTTAGTTGTTCACGTGGGCAATTATTGTTATTTATGTTGGGCCTCGTTTGTCTTGAAGGAGATCGTCGAACTCTGGGCAATTAATATCGATTAAAAGTGATATTGGCTCCTTGATAAGGAGTCTAACATCAACGGAACGCGCTTATCTGGCGGCAATTTCACCCCAATTTGCCCATCAATTACAAGAAATTGCTCATCAGTCCACCGGGATTGCAGCGACGATTGACAGTTTTGAAGAAAGTTTTTTTTCCCCGAGATTTCAGATAACGAGACGATATTTTCTATGCTCCATTGTCCATCGAACCGTCTAAATTGCCGGGGGAAAGCCAGGCATTCCCTCATTGTCATCTATCCGTGACGGTCATTCAAAAAGTCCAATAAAACAGTCAATTGCAGCTCATTAGCTCCGGCTTTCGCAAGTTGTTTATAGTTGTTTCAACGTTCCTAGCGTGTTTTTACCATTCGTCTCGAGATATTCACGGAAATTCGTGATTTATGGGGGGGACATTGACTATTACTTTGCATTTCAAGGGTTTGAGTGACAATATGAGTGGTTTATGGGATTTTCTTGTTGTTGTCCAGAATTTTAAAACTACTTTGCATAAGCATTTCTACTTTTATTTAGATTTTTTTTACGATATTCGAATAATGTCCGAACAAGCTCCGGAATTACGGAAAAGATACACGGAGAGAAATATTAAATAAAAATGACGTATCTTTTCCGTAATTTCGGAGCGAAATGTGATTGTAGAAAATTTTACGGAACTCTCACTGAATTTTTCCAGGGCGTTCCGTAATTTTTCACAGGAGATTCAAATAAAAAATCATCATCAAAAAAATGAAATTATTTTTTATCTGAATCTCCTGTGAAAAATTACGATACCGTCACTTAAATTTTCTGTGTCGATTCCATAATCGGTGAGCGAATTGTGAGTTTCGTAATTTTTAGTGGACATTTCTCTCCGTGTGAGTAATTTTTATTGATTATTTCTCTCCGTGCACCGCAAAAATGTCATTCCCCCGTTTCCCAAGACCTCACCGCTCTTTTCCCAGCATTACAATTTTTCATTATCAGAGACGCGCGTTAGCATTGACGTCACCGGTGGATTTCCAGTCGTGTTTTAGAGGATTTGCCGCGATACTGAGCTCTAAAAATAGCGGAGCAAATTTTCCAAGTGAATAAAAAGCTGAGGAAAAAAATTGATTACGTTGGATGGCTGATTTTCCAGTGGACAACTGGTGATTGATGGATCTGGCCTGTCACTGTCTCTATTTCTGCAGTTTACCTTGACTGCCCACTTGTGCCTTTCCTCTATTCGATTAGTATGCGAAGCCCTATGCCACTAGTTATACAATGCATTAGTGTTATGATAGAATTACGACCTGAAATTTCTCATTCAACATTCTGCGCTCTCCGCCATGAGTCAGGTGGGCTCGGTGAGGGCGCGAATAGCGTTTCTAGAGAGTGAATATGGAAATAGAGATGATGACATCGAAACTCGTGTTTATCAGTGCCAAAGTAACCGGTTGACTCGTTTTTTTTTTTAATTCAACTAAATTCCCGACGTGCATTGATTTTACAATTTTCTGATTGCAGGAAGAGATATGGCACCTGTCATGGGAGTTCCACCACCCCCACCTGCACCACACATGGGGCCGGACGGCCTCATTCTACCCCGTAAGCCTTACAACCCGTGCCTCATATCCAACAATCATAAGGACCTTCGTAGAGAATTGCTTTTCAATCAGAAAATGTGAGTTATTTTATTATGATTTTTAATGAATGAATGAAATAAAACTGTTTATTTGACATTTTTTTTATTCATTTGAACAATCTTTTAGTTTAATATCTTGTCTTCTTTTATTAATTATTTATCCGAGAGGTGAAACAAATCTACAAGAAATTGTATTAATTTAGTTCTTAGATTTTTAATTGTTTTTAGAAATAATTTCGCTCATTCATCTTCAAATCACCTTTTTTTTTATTAATTGCTCATCCTGGGCATGAAACAAATCTATAAAAAATTGTATTAATTTCGTTTTTTAATTTTTAATTGTTTTTAGAAATAATTTCGCTCATTCATCTTCAAATAGCCTTTTTTTTATTAATTGTTCATCTTGGACATTAAAAAAATCTCCAAAAAATTGTATTAAATTCGCTCTTCAATTTTAAATTGCTTTCAGAAAAAATTTCACTCATTCATCTTCAAATAGCCTTTTTTCTATTAATTGTTCATCCTGGACAACCAATAAAAAAAATCAAATTAAAAAAGCACAAAACAAAAGTTTTCAATTGAACTAATTCAATAATTAAAAATTATTGAATTAGTTCTTCAATTTTTAATTGTTTTCGGAACTAATTTCACTCATTCATCTTCAAATCGCCTTTTTTAAAATCAATTGTTCATCCCGGACATGAAAAAAACCTGCAAAGAATTGTATTAAATTCGCTCTTCAATTTTAAATTGCTTTCAAAAATAATTTCGCTCATTCGTCCTCAAATAGACTTCTATTAATTAATTTCCAGGGGTAAAAATGTATTAAATCAGAAGAGTGAACTAGAGCGAGCCCTGGAGAGACAGCGTGAAGCGGCAATGCGTCGGGAATCCGAGAGAAATCGAGAGGAAACGTACAAGGATGACCCAAGGACAGCCCTGCAACGAGCCATCGAACAAAGGGCAAGGCAGCTCGAGCTCTCGGTACGTGATGAACCGCAAAGAAAAGCGATAAACAATTTGCAATCGAGAGAAACCCGTCAAAGTAATCCAATAATTTTTCTCCCCAGGAGCAACCACCGATTGTCGAACCACCAAATCCCCTGGTAACCGCGAGAGCCAAATTAAGAACACGCACTGACTCGCAGTGAGGGAGACGTAAACCCCGGGTTTATAACACTCAGATTGAGTTTTGTTAGAGGAAACGATTGTTCAGAGACGCATATATGATGAGAAATAGATTTAAAGATTTATTGATGTGAATCGGCGTGTGTAGATAATTTTTTACATTTTTTACATATGCAACTGGTGAGGCTGTGTATACAAAAAATGTGTGGAAAATCGTGAGATGGGGCGAGTGGAATTAATGGAGTAATCATGATTATGCATGACGAGTTAGAAATGAGCAGATTAAAGATATGGAACGATCAATAAGGAATCATAAAAATAGATGAGAGGAAAAGAATTAAAATCTTGAATTATGCAAATACTAAGAATTATGCGAAAAATATGTGAAAAATCGGGAAATGGGGCGAATGAAATCAATGGAGTAATCATGATTATGCATGACGAGTTAGAAATGAGCAGATTAAATATATAGAATGATCAATAAAGAATCGTGAAAATATATATGAGAGAAAAAGAACTAAAATCCCGAGGATCTGGAAAAAATGCAAGAAATTATGCAAATAATATGTGAAATATGAGTTGAGACGAGTGAAATCAGTTGAATAATCATGATTATGCAATTGAATAACATTATACTGGCTAGATAAATAAATTAGGAAACAACAGAGTTGAAATATGTGAAATAATCAAACAAAAATAAATGAGACAGGGAATAAAAATCCAAAGGATCCACAAAAAAGATTAAAAATGTATGAAACGAGTGGAATCGGTGAATAATCATGATTACGCAGTTAAATAAAATTGTACCGGCTAGATAAACAAATTAGAGACTGGCAGAGATGAAATATATGAGTTAATCAGACGAAAATAAATGAGAGAGAAGATGCGAAGAAATGAAATCCAGAGGATCTAGATGTTTTTACTGAGCTCACTCGTGTGAACACAAAAAGAGGACAAAAACACTTAGACCGGTTCTGAGGACCGGTGTTGGACTGGACCATGATACGAACGTTTATAGAGAATCATATTTACATCAATGTTTTTTTACGAATTAGAAATACACTTGAAACGTTTCGAATACGCGCTAATATTTCTCTTTCCATTTTTTTTTCTGCAACATTCGTGCCACGAGTGTTGTGGAGTGCAGCCCCCAGGGACCATGTCCGAAGAATTATAAAAAGTTGATTAGATGTGAGGGGAAAGGCACTCCTTGTGTGTCGAGATTTTTTTGGCGGAATTAATCTTTGACATTCGAATTATTCGAGTTATTTTAATTCATAGTTTTAATGATATGTAGCTCGAGGTTTCATTCCACGGTTTATTTTTAACTTGTAACATATTATTTTGAGCCGTTTTATTGTAGCTTTGGAATCGTGAAATTGAGAGGAGAGAATTTTCAGAATTTGAATATACAAGTTTTGAGGAATTATTAAAGGAGATTAATTACAATCAATTGGGTTTTTATTTTCGTTCGTCAGTGTTATTTCTTCCTTTTGTTGTCGATATTCAATAAAAATTGAAAATATGCAATGGAAAATTATTTCGTTTTTAATTATAAGAATAGTTATTTGAAGAAGTTTTTATTTTATTTTTACTCTGTTTTGAATTTTATCCATTTAGTTTTCATTTGACAGAAAAAAGCTAGTGCTTTCCGAAAGAAATTCGAATTTTATTCAATAATTATATTTTTTTCTGCAATTATATTGAAGATTATGCAACATTACTCCATTCTCCAATAAAATTCTTAAGGTTTCAATAAAAAATCAGTGGAATTTCTTCGAGAAAACGAGGTTTTTCTGTTAAATGTCATGAACAGGTGCAGAATCTATTATTCGTCGCTTTGGAAATGATAAACGACCTCGAGGTGAATTAAATGAACAACAAAAAATCAATTACCACATATTGCCTGTTTTTTATTCAACAGTGATATTAATCCTCTCATGTCATCAATAATCAATAAGAAAAGAGAAGAAAAACTGGTAAAATAAGAGGAGAAACACATCGAAAATGCATAGTAAGTAGAAAAGATCAGCATTGATGATGCTCTGGACCTTCCTCACCTATCAAAGCGCGTTAATGTGCATCGACGCACATTGGTGAGTGGTCTGCAACGTATGGGAGGGATTAATAGTCATCACCACGTGAGATAACTTCCTTGCAGGTTGGACGCAGAACGAGGGTGTGCTCGAATTGAGCTGTGTAACAGCCTTTAACGTCTACCAGTGGTGGGTATGCCTCTACTGCACCCTTGTCACATAAATCCTTGAGGGCCATTTGGTACTTGGTGCAGCCAGCTCGGTCTAGCCAGCGTTTGCAGAATGCCAGAGTGCCTAAAAAGTAAAATAAAGTGGCAATAAATTCACGTGTAGGAAAACTTAATCGAAAAGCCCAGCATTTTCTCTAATAAATTATATTAAATTTCTTTTAGAATTCTTGAGGATGATTTTTCCTAGTTTTTTCTCAAATTTTATCATAAAAAACGGATAAAAATACTGGAGCAAAAACTTGGGAAATTCACGCCCCAGAATTTTTATAGAGAAATTAAATATAAAAATGTAACAAATATAAGAAAATATTTAAAAACAATTAGAATTTTTAAAATGGATTTTTTTTTTAGTAAAACGTGAAGAGAATTGCTTACAGAAAAAAGATTTTTCTATTAAATTTTTTTATGTCTGTTAATTTCAAAGAAGAATTCTGAATGTTATTCATTCATTATTCATTATTTTCTGCTCTGGGATAAAATAGAAATGTAACGAATGAATTAACACAACGAGTTTTTCACTTGAAGGAAATGATTCTCTCTGTTCTCTGGAATTTTGTGATCCTTTTTATGACGGGATTACTTACTAAAGTTCTTGTTGATCGTATTCAACAATGATTTACTGCTCTGGAGCCTCAGAGGGACGAAACCAGCGTCGAAGCTCTTCATGTAGTGCGAGCAATCAGAGTCGTCGTGCACAACTCCACGACCAGTCGATCCAAACGTCTCAATAGCGTAAAACTCGTTCTCCTCCATCCTGGTGGCTTCACCGCCACGCACTATTGGCACTGTCTTACCTGCGTGGATGCGGTAGGGTGCGATTGAGTGCCCATTAAGATTCCTAATTGATTTTACCTGCAATCGAAGATTAATTGGCACAAAAAAAACAAAAAGAATTTTTTAACGGAATTCTAGTAAAACTTTGAGACAATTCTTCAGAGAAAACACTGGGTTTTAGTGTGAAATTGCTTTTTCCTGCAAATCGAACATTAATTATGTGTCAAATGGATTTTATTTGCAATTTTTCGAGTCATTTCAATGACAGTTGAAATTATACGAAATGAATAGTCTAGTAGACTCAATTGAAGGATTACTTTGTCCAAATAAAGGAATGTCCCTTAATTCATTCTCAGTTGCTGCTTGTTCGACTAAAAAAATTATAATCGACCGGAAAAAATAATCAATTTTTAAACAGAAAAAACAGCAAGTGGTAAATTCGAAGAAATTTCCCTCTCGATAGCAATTCTTTCTGATCTTTCAAGATTGAAATAAGGAATTCACATAAATAATTACTCTCTGTGATGTCCAAAAAATTCTGATAAAAAAATTAGCGTCCATTATCAATCATCAAATTAAAAGCTGAGCAATGATGAATTTGCATCTAAAATTATTTCTCATTGATGAAGAATATTTCAATTTTGTTAAAGTGACAGCTGCTTGCTAAAGTAGTGAAAACAATTCGTGAATTGATTGAATTCACCTCCAATCGAATTAAATTAAATGCGATTGGAATTCACTTAAACTTCAATTCATTCCCAATGTTCCATTACACCTTGAGGTGTTTAAACTCCTCACCTGGTAGGTTTTCCCGTCAATCTCCACCTCATACGACTCCATGACCTCCTGAACCGCAGCCCCCACGTCGCAAAGCTGGACATCAATGCCAGCAGCCTTAATCCCCGTATTAGTGGCGTCGCGCACGGCCTCGATCAATTTATCGAACTTGGGGTTGAAGGCCAGGGTAAATGCGCAGTCAATAATCCTGCCGTTTATGTGAGTGCCAAAGTCAATCTTGGTGACGTCGTCGTAGCCCAGGACCGTGGTGTCCCCGGCGTTGGGAGTGTAGTGGGCAGCGCAGTGGTTCCTGGAGCAGCCAGTGGGGAAGGCGAGGCCAGCCTTGAGGCCGTCCTCACCGATGAGCCTCCTGGCAGTATTCTCGAGCTCATTGCAGATCTCTATCATCGACATTCCGGGCTTCACCCAGTTCATAATGTGCTTTCTGGTCTGACGGTGGGCCTCAGCGGCCTGACGTGCCTCCATGTAAATGTCGTTGTGCATTCTGTCGAGGGCTCTTGCCTCTTCGCTCGTGAATCTTTCCTTGGCGGTTCTCTCGTCCACTCCCGCTGCCGGGGGGTGCTCCATTATCTGGCCCTCGGGGAAATTACCGTCGGGGAAGAGGTCAGACACCGCAATTGTTGGGGGGTCTGTCTGCTGCTTCGCTCCCTTGCCTCGGGGCTTACGCTTCTTCTTCTTTTTCTTGACTTCGTCTGTATCACCTCCATTTTCACCTGCGCCTGAAGGATTTTTCACGTGGGAACAGCAGTTTATTCAAGCGCTTTATCCATTCTTTTTATTATTAATTTGTATTATTAATTTTATTATTTTTTTTTATTTATTCTTTTTCAGGGGGTTGTAAAAAATGTTATAATTCTTTCAATCAATTAATTAATTCAATAATTAATTCAGGATTATATCCATTTAGGCCTGAGTTTTTGGGAAGTATCTCCGAATCTAAGGGATACAACGAAATTTTCGTCACCACTTTTTTTGTGGCATTCAACTCGCTCTATGAAAAAGGTCTTAACAAAGATTTTGTTTCTTCCTTGGATTTCGAGATATTCATTGAAAACTGGCCAATAATGAAAATTGACTTCAACTGCTTTGCTCCTGAATTTTTAGATAAAATTCTAATAAAACCTCAAGATAATTCTTATAGTTAGTAGCTATTCTATTAATTTTTTTCATGTGTAAATTTCTCTTGTCCAAAAACTGATCTTCCAGAGGAATTCAATTTTTAGCCCTTTTTTTTCTTTATTGCTAAATTATAAAAAAATGCGTTTCGTAAGTTCCTAGGGGTTGTATTATTAATTTTTTTTATTTTTTATTTATTCTTTTTCAGGGGGTTGTAAAAAATGTTATAATTCTTTCAATGAATTAATTCGAGAATTAATTCAGGATTATGTCCATTTAGGCCTGAGTTTTTGGGAAGTATCTCCGAATCTAAGGGATACAACGAAATTTTCGTCACCACCTTTTTTGTGGCATTCAACTCGCTCTATAAAAAAGGTCTTAACAAAGATTTTGTCTCTTCCTTAGATTTAGAGATATTCATTGAAAACTGGCCAATAATGAAAATTGACTTCAACTGCTTTGCTCCTGAATTTTTAGATAAAATTCTAATAAAACCTCAAGATAATTCTTATAGTTAGTAGCTATTCTATTAATTTTTTTCATGTGTAAATTTCTCTTGTCCAAAAACTGATCTTCCAGAGGAATTCAATTTTTAGCCCTTTTTTTTCTTTATTGCTAAATTATAAAAAAATGCATGTTTCGTAAGTTACTAGGGGTAGCAAAAGCAATAATATATTGAGATATATTATCAAGGGAATGTAAAAGACCCCAAAGGTCATACTATCTCCCATAAAATTATGATTATGAAAAAAAGCATTCAGCACGCGATTGAAGTAATATTTACCTTCCTGACCCTCACTCTCATCCTCCTTCTTGTCCTCCGCGGCCTCTGGAGTCGTCAGCTCCCCAGCAGCTAATCAAACCCCATAAATAACAATAAAATTTAAATCCACGAATGCAACTACGTTATCTCCCCCTCCAGTCAACATTCATTAACCTCAAATGCATCAATTAGGAAAGCATCAAGTGTTTTTTTTCTAGTTGGGGAGTGGAGAGAGCACGTCAGTGAGGGGATGGGGCTGAGGGAATACTTCAGAACGTTCTAGAGTCGCGGAATGGGATTCTCAGGTGAATTCCAGGGAGACACGTTGACCACGGGCACCGGATAACACCCATTCTGCTCCAAAACAAACGAGAGGTTAAACAGCAAACTCACCAGTCTTCTTCTTCTTTTTCTTTTTCTTCTTCTTCTTGGTTACATCAGTTGGCCCAGTGTCGTCTTCGTCGTCAACGACATCGTCGGCTTCCTCGTCAATGAGTTTTTCAGCGGATTTGCCGACCTCATCGAGCACAGCAGCCATTTTTCACGGTGAGAGAGACGACGGGATCAAACAAATCGTTGTGGGAAAAAAATGGAGTTCTGGCGATCGGTAAAACAGATTTTCATTGGAGGAGTTGTAACATCCGGTGGTTTAATTAAGGGGGGGTCACTTCCTACACCCTATACAAGATGAATTAAATTAATTTTTTTTTGCATTTTCGTTTTTCGCGATTATCTCGGAAACTATGAGAGATAGAGCGTTAAAACCAAATTTGGGTCCCCTATAGGCAAATGGATGGCTCAGCATTGCGTTTTTCCACTTCCTACACCCTATACAAGATGAATTGAATTAATTTTTTTTGGCACTTTCGTTTTTCGCGATTATCTCGGAAACTATGGGATTCGATCAATTAGCCCCTCATGTATAGATATTCCAAATTTTTATTTTTTTCCTCATTGAAGTAGTTTTGAAAAAAATTGCTAGCTAATAAAAAACATTTGTTAGTTGGGACGTTTTTTAAAATAAATTGTTGAAAAATCTCCCCGGAAAAAAGGCGTTATCCCCCCTACTTCATTATTTCCAAACAATTTTATCACCAATCGGTAGCAAATTCTTTGAAGATTTTTGCGAGTTAAGAAAAAACCTTCAATGCACTCCTATTATTGTGCAAATTAACAATTCCAATTTCAACTGAAAACCCAGAGTTGCTGACCAGAGTTTGTAGCTGAGATGTCAGACAAGATATGAATGTTTTTTTTGGCTCAAATGAAAGAGCGGGTCGAGAAATGGCGTGCAGAAGTCTTTAAAGATGACAAATCTCTCTAAAGATGATGTCTGTTTTCAATTGAAAAGCGCAATTGTGACAACATTGTCCAGTGGGGTCTAGGAGCCTCCCCTGGTTCAACACCATCTTTAGAGGTCCTAGCACGCCATTCCTCAACCCGCTCTTTCGTTTGAGCTCAAAAAAACATTCAAATCTTGTCTGACATCTTTGCTACAAACTCGGGTCTTCAACTCGGGTTTTCAATTGAAGGCCGCAGAATCTGGCAGAATAAAATAAGAAAATTCTCCCACTTTAAAATATTTTATTGAAATATTCGAATACACGAATGAAAAAAAAACGATTACAATGTTGAAAGTTCAATTAATCTAGTGGTTAATGATAATAAATTTCAGTATCTGTACAATTTCCACATCATCTCGACGATCCCGATGGATTACCCCACAGAAGCAAGGACAACAGATGCCACGTCGGGGTCCTGGGATCGAATGGAAAGTTGCATGGTGACTTCGGAATTGGCGAGGGCCAATCTGGCCCTCGCGAATATCTCCTTACCACCCCTGAAGAAGCCGTGGAGCTTCAGAACGTGCGAGGTGGCCCCTGCGGCGACCCTGTCACTCCTCTCCTGAGGCTCAAGTGCCAAGAATCCGAGCAAACTCTGCACTGCAGCCTCGAGAGTTGTTACATTGGCCCCCAGAGCGAATGTGTCTTCCATGCAGGTGAAGCCACGTGTCGGTGCTGCCTCCCAGGCAGCTCCCATGTCCATTCCCCTCGAGCCCGAGCCACGCATCTGGTCTGACAGCGTTATCTCAAGGTCTTCGAGCTGAAATAATGAAAGCGAGATTTTACCACTTCACTTTCACCTGTCAAATGGTTAATTAGTGATTATCAACATTAATCAATCACTTTTGAAAGGATTTCCAAATGAATTCATTAGAATTTGTCTCTGAAAAATTAATGGGTAGACTCACGTACTAAAAAACCAACAGAAGAATCGAATTCTTTAGGAAGTACTATTGGAGTTTCTGTTGAAATATTCAACAGATATCAGGAAGAAGTCAATAGATCTTGATTTTTCCATTAAAACGAAAACCAGAAAAATTTCCGAAGAATTCCTGCACAATCTTACAACTCCGATAAACGTCCTTTAAATATTTCGAATGAATATACTTCTCTCTCAGATAAAACCACTCAAATGATGAATAATTGAACCGAATAATTGCATGGTTTGTTGTCCCTCGTATTCTATTGTCTATGCAATTCTAATAAAACAACATTTAAACTACGTCAATTGGTCTTCATCCATTCTTAGAACTCCTGTCAATTCTCTTCAAATGAAGACAGAAAACCAACTATTTCCGCATCTTCATCCATTCACTCGAACAATTAATGTATCATCTTCACCTCATTGGACTCCAACTACACCATCAAAAATAGAACGGAAACTTACGTCCATATGTAAATAATTGGGTGAAGGCCCTATGGCGAGATTTATTTTTTGTGTATTTTTCTTCCAATAATTTCGTTAAAAATGAAAAAAAATCAATTAAAGATAAAATTCCCTCGACTCACCATGTACTCGTCCTGATACCCCTGTTCAGCCTCAGGAAGTCCGGTGGTGGGATCGCAGTCCTTGGCAACGAATTTCAAAGTCGTCGGGACAGTGGCAATGGAGGCCTCAGGGTCCTCAGGGTACATCAGCACAGTGTAAGTAACACCAGGCTCATTGTACGGCAATTTAGGGCAGACGACTTCCTGAATGACAGTGTAGCCCTCAGGTGCCTCGACAGCGACAGAGACATTCTCCAGCAGTTGATCAGACAGTGTATTAACACAATCAAACTGCAGAATGAGGTAATCCCCGAGTGAGTGCTTGATACACTTGACATTGTACTCAGTCTCTGACTCAGTGAGCTCGAAGACTGATGAGGATTTGAACAGGGGTGACTCCTGGACGATGGGAGCGAGCTGGGGCACCTGGGAGAGCTTCTCGGCGTAGCTCTCCTCCCTGGTGAGTCGTGGCTGGGCGGGCTTTGCTGAAAACTGTATCTCTTGGGCCACTGGCTCCTTGTCGAGGGCTGCCGGAGGTATCTGGGATATGTCGAAGGGCTCCTCCATTCCTGTCTTCACGTAGTTCCTCAGGGCTCTTTCTAGGCTCGGAATTGACAGCTGCGGTGGCTGAATCAGGGGCAGGACACTGGGGTCCTGGTGTTGCTGGAGAATTGTGCAGTAGTAAGCTGCACGATCACGTACTTCGTCGTCTGAATCCAATTGACATCTGTAAGAAACAATACATTTTTCATTGATTCAGTAAAAATTAATTCATTGTAAAGCTTTTTTAAAAATACTATTCTGATAATTTACCGTTGTAAGTACTTCATGCTAAATTATATGTTTTTAATAAAATAATTGTCAAACTGTGAAGAAAAGGATTGGAAGAGGCTTTAGTAACAAAAACTATGATATGTAATTGAGAATGTTTAACGTATTTCAAAGGTTTTTTTTCCTTCTTGATTCTACTTGGAGAAAAACATATTCAGATTTTTAAAAAATTAATTTTTCAATTTGTCTTCAATTTGTCAATTTTTAAAGTTGATTTAGCAGAGCCCAGTGCCAAAAATCTGGAAGAATTAATGAAAACTTTACATTATTTTAAGCTAGTGAAGCTATTTTAAGCTATTCTAAGCTATTTTAAGCTATTTTAATCTATTCTGAGCTATTTTAAGCTATTTTAAGCTATTTTAAGCTATTCTGTAAAATAGAGTGAAATTTCTGTGTACATTTTTCAATATCATAAAAAAACGCCATTTAAAAATGATTTAGATTATAGAAATGAAGAAATAATAATCATTACTCACCTCGACAACAGCACAAGTACGTTAGGAAGAAGATCAGGGCAGGCAGCGGCGAATCTCGCGAGTGCAGTGACCGCAGCAGCCCTGACCGAGGCACTCTCCAGAATGACCCTGTTGTAAATGAACCTGATGTACCTCGAAGGCTGCTTGGAAGTGGGTCCCTCCTGCCCCAGTAGATGGAGGATCCTGACAGCGAGTGATGTGTGCTCGCAGTCCTCAATGAACTCGCAGAGATGAGCGAGACCCGCCTCCTTGGCCTCAGCATTCCCCTCCATCACCGCAATTATCGTATCCGCAATGGCAGCTTTGTACTCGAGGCCCCCCTCGTCCCTCAGCATCGCAGACAGGAAATTCATGAGGACTGCATGCTTCCTGGGGAACTTCTGGCAAAGAGCCCTGATGGCTTGGACCACGACCACCTTGAACTCGTCAGAAATTTCGGACACAAATGTCGCGATTTGCTTCATCAGTCTGTCCACAGAGCTCTCAGCTCCTGTTTTCAGGAGAGTCGTGATTGCTAGGGTTGCGATGGACCTGTTGGGATTAATTAAATGTTAATCATTCTACTGATTTTGTAGGATTAATTATTCCCTGGGGACAATTCACACAAATAATCCCTTTCTTTCATTCTTTATCAGATATTTATCATAAATTGATTGATTGATTGCTTTTATTACTGTACATTATGATGTACAACATACACAATGACATTTGTCATAGAGCGATTGACAGAGTAAATAAACAGAAAGATTCAGTAATACTGAAAATAGCACACACGCACTGCAAGATTTCCAAAAATTCAGCCTAACAAAGCGTAGGGTAGCGAAAGGCGGACTCAATAGTAGATTAAATAGTAGATAAACTAAATAGTAGATTAAAAATCTAAAATCAGAGATTGCAAGCAGTGTAAATATTTACATCGTCAATAAAACAACTGATAATGTAAATAAATCCTGTAGATTTGGTCCCCTTAAACCCAAAAAATATATAAATCTTTAACAAGTTAAATCCACCCCCCCTCACCTGTTGGGATCAGTAATCAAGTTCTCCAAATCCAGATTGCAGGCAGTGACAGCAGCAGGATGGGTCATAGCGACTTTGTTCAGAGTCCTGACAGCAGCGAATCTCAAAGCCGGTTTTGGTGAGCCACAGAATAGCTGGAGAACACTGATGGCAGGTGCGATCTCCCTGATTCCACTTCTATTGAGATTGACGAGGGCATGTGCTGCCTCGTACACCACCATCTCGGATTTGTGTCTCAAGCACGACTCGATGAACTCGAGGAGGTCACCACCTTCGTTGGAGTTCTCCAGGAGTTTGCAGGCCATTCTGATGAGCATGCAGGCTGCGTAAGGGCTCTTGGGGCTGGTTCTCATGAGCTTCGCCACCAGCTTGATGACTGCGTGCTTGTCCTGCTTCCTCGCTTGGTAGAGGACACCCAGGGCGTGGTACTGGACCATAACGTTGTCGGAGTTGAGGGCCTCCTGGGCTTCGTTCGCCCAGCGACGCGCCACGTCGGCCGAGACACTCGAGAGGTGCAGGGAGGAGACCAGGGCCGCACTGGAGACCGCTGGGGACTTGTCCACGATCGCCTGCTTCATGTATCTCTCGATGGCTGCCAGCATTGCTGCGTCTGTTATCGTGCACAGGGCGCGGATTGCAGCTGCTCGGTACAGGTCCTCCTTTCCGGTCATGTCCTTCGTTAGGCTCGACGTCACGATTATCACGTCCTCAGCTATTGTGCTCAGCTCCTTTATCGCGAGGTAGACTAGACGACGCAGCACGACGTCGCGAGACTGGAACAACTTCGTCATTGCGAAGAATGTCTCGGTCGCTTCGGTCACCCCCAGGACCTCCCCCTGGTTTATCAGGTAGAGGATCTTCGTCAGGATGTGGGAACATTTGCGGGGGTGCACTGGCGTGTCGTTGAACGTGCGCGCCTCCTGGAGGACGGTCGTCTTCTCCAGGTTCTGGAACGGGTTCCCTCCTCCTGAAGGTTTTTTTTCGTTAGGAGAGAGTGAGAGAGCAGAGGAGAGAATGAGAGAGGTCGTTTGGAGAGAATGCGGGACGTTGAGGGGGGAGAAACAATTGGCTTTGATGATGTTTTAGTAGTGATGAGTTGAAAGAAGGCATTTTAACCTGATCTCATGGGTTTTTAGGTTTTCTTAAAGAGTTGTCGTGAATTTATGGGCGAAATGCACGTGAATTCTAGTGGAGTTGCGTTCAAAATTCTATTTTAGTGCGGAGATTGCTATTGAGGAGATTGAAAATCTAGCGGAGATTTTTATCTGGCCTCTGAGCCAGAAAATGTTGAAACGACTCATTTTACCTTCTTATCTGTCTTTCAGGCTTTCATTTTTGAAAATCCTGTTTAAATTATTCTGGAAATCTATAGGAATTTTCTCAAAGTTGGATTAAAAATTCTATTTTAGGGCGGCGATTTCTATCAAGAAGATTGAAAATCTAGCGGAGATTTTTATTTTGTTTTAAACGGGAAGCTCTTTGGAAAAATTATGAAACAAAATGGTGAAACGACTCATTATTCTGGAATTATTCTGGAAATCTATAGGAATTTTCTCAAAGTTGCATTAAAAATTCTATTTTAGGGCGGCGATTTCTATCAAGAAGATTGAAAATCTAGCAGAGATTTTTATTTTGTTTTAAACGGGAAGCTCTTTGGAAAAATTATGAAACAAAATGGTGAAACGACTCATTATTCTGGAATTATTTTGGAAATCTATAGGAATTTTCTCAAAGTTGCATTAAAAATTCTATTTTAGGGCGGCGATTTTTATCAAAAAAATTGAAAATCCAACGGAGATTTTTATTTAGCCTCTGAACTGGAAGCTCTTTGGAAAAATGATGAAACAAAATATTGAAGCGACTCATTTTACCCTCTTCTGTCTTTCAGGCTTTCATAAAAAAATCCTTTTAAATTATTCTGGAAATCTATTGAAATTTCCTCAACGTTGCATTCTAAATTCTATTTGTTTTCTGTGGCGATTTTCCTTGAGAAAATCAGGCCTTTTTCATTAAAAAGTCTAGAGAAAATATTCATTTCGTCCCCTAAACTGGAAGCTCTGCAAAAATAATGGGAAATTCTAATAAATATTGCTATCAATGACAACATTCATTGGATCTATCAAAAATAACTGATTTCGCCAGGAAAATCATCTGCTGCTGTTGAAGTAGGGTAAAATGGACCTTCTTCAATCGTCAATATCCCCCGACCAAACGGTGCAATCGAGCTCAATCAGGTCCTACTTTAAACCACGAAAGAAAACCTTAAAAAAATCAAATTTTCCCCTGCAAATCTTGAGCTCTCGATGATTAAAAATCGCTCATTTTATACTCCTCCCCTCGCGCCTTCTGAGACTTCTGAGGGTGGAACTGTCAAACATCTCGTCGACCAACAATTGCGTCAGGAAAGAGCCTTTCAAAAATATTTCTCAAACCCCTCATAATCACAAGTAAGCAAAACGTTTTATTTATTCACTCACCATCCTCCTCCTCCTTTTTGTCCCGTTTAAACGCATTCATCTTTCAGATTCTGATAATTATTGGGAAAAAACTGGAGACACGTCACCTGGGCTCACACTACTCTGGCAGCCATTGAACAACGTCGACGCGAGTTTCCGTTCGCTCGGAGAGACGGCGCGCACGTCGGAAATTTCAAAACGTGCGGGAAATTTTGGAATTCGCTCCAAAATGACTCGCACTTTCTCCCGGAAATTTTTCGTTTTCTTAAATTGTCGTCTGACCCAGGAGAAAGGACAAGGTTTTTTTTTCGTAATTTAAAAATTTGATTCACGATTTTTGGAGGGACTTCGGGGAATTTGAACGTCGGGTTCTGTTGTAGGTGCCGGCGAATATCGATTCTCGTGCACGTGAGCCCCTCCGAGTGTTAGTGAGGAAACTTAGCTGATCGCTCGTCATTGCGGGGATACACTCCGAGGGAAACGGGAAACAGTCCGTGAACACTCGGGGAAGAGGACGGTTTCTCCAGCAATTCCTGAGGCCATTCCTACTCTCTCTCGGCTCCACTCGTAAGTGATTTTCGTTATTCATGGGGAGCTAATTGCGGGTCATGGACACTAATTTTTTTCGATTCAACAGTCGATTAATTGGCAGAGTTCCTTACGCAATTCACGTGTTGACTTCGAGTGTGAACTGTTTACGCGCTCGGAGTGAATAACGGTTGTGGTTTTCGAATTTCATGGACTCTATTTTCGGTTCTAATTATTTGAGTTTCTCTGGGGGGATCGATTTTAGGCGGGAGGAGGCAGATTTCTGTTTTTTTTTTCATGTTTAAAACATCGTTTAATTAGTGATGAAATGGATTTTTTTAATCTCAGATCAATTAATTAATTTAGTTGTGAGTTATGAATATTTTTAAAAATGGCCGGAATGTCTATTTTANTTTTTACCCCCCCCCCCCCCCCTATAGTGACACACGTGTTTTTTTCATTTGAGAGAATAACAGACTCAAATCGGTTGTGGTTTTCGAATTTCATGAACTCTATTTTCGGTTTTAATTATTTAAGTTTCTCTGGGGTGACCGATTTTAGGCGAGAGGGGGGAGATTTCAAATGTTTTTAAATGTTTAAAATATTGTTTAATTAGTGATGAAATTAATTTTTTTTTATCTGAGATCAATTAATTAATTTAGTTGTGAGTTATGAATATTTTTAAAAATGTCCGGAATGTCTATTTTACCCCCCCCCCCCCCCCC